CCAGCAAACACTCCCCTCACCCTCCAAACCCTGCATTGCCACACTCACCAGAGTCTTCCGGAGGTGATTTCATCTGAGCCAGATTGAGGAACAGCTGCCAAAACTGGGAGACAGAAGAAAGCTACAGGAGAGCTAACGTGCATCACAACGGTATTGAAGGCCAGCTAGAGAACATTGCCAGCCCTTCCATCTCACCCCCAAACCCAGAGCTGGGAGAAGAGTTATGGGGCAGGAGAGCCCAAAGAGCATACACCCTTCCTGTCCCATGGCCACCCGCCTCTCTATACCTTCTCCTGCTGCTTCTGTGTAACCACGTTTGTGTTGTGGTGCACAGCTTGTTCCGCCTCACCCTTATCCATGCGGTGCTGCTCATAAAGGCGCTTGGCCTAGGAGAGCCAACAAACAGGGCAGGAGCGTGTTAGCAAGCAAGGAGGTACTATTACAGCTCATGCACATAGCTCTAGAGCAAAACAGCCTCCAAGTGAAGAGGTTACCAAAGGCTGCCCACAGAGCAGGGGACAGCACACAAGGCACTCAGTGCCCTGCTGCTTGACCAAAACTGACCTCACAAGACAAGCTGCTCTTCATTTGGCATGAAAAGCTCATAGCAATCGAGTCCGTGACATCTAAATCAATCTTAACCTACCATGCAATGCTGTGACTAGCCATGTCCGTGGTGTACTCTTCAGTTTTTCAGAGCACACTATGCAGACTTAAATGTGACGGTCTTCCTCTGCTGCAGCTCTTGATGTAGTGTCTGCATGAGTTGCAGCAGAGGAAGACCCTCATATGTAAGACTGTGCCAGCACTGTGCGCGTATGGTAGCAGTGTTAAACCATAGAGCAAGAAAGAGCAGCATGTTTGCTTTACCACCATGGTCTTCTCGTACTGCAGACTCCTGATTTTCTGAATCGCCTCCATTATCAGGTCTATCTGTGATGACAAGAGAGTCAACACATCACTGAGCATCGAAGCTTCACGATGGACTATGTGGCTTAGGAAAGGAAGAGGCACAGACCAAATTCAGATGGCCTTAAGGACCTATGTCCACATCAAGCATCTTCACAAAACCCACCTTTTATACTTCTAGCTAAGCCTCCACCTGTCTATGCAATGGAACTCTACAAATGAAATCCACCATTATATAGTACTGTATCATCTCCATTGAATCTAGGAAAATTGGGAAGCCAGCTCCCTTCTGCTACGTCCAAACTTGCAGCAGTTTTCTCTCATTTTCCAGACAAAGGAATCTCAAGCCAGAAGAGGTTAAAAGACTTGCCAATTTTAGCAAACCCTATGGACATCACGCAACACTATAATGTATGAGATATATGTCTCTATGCTTTAAGAACATTCCTGGTTGAGGCTGGTGTCTCTGGAGGTGAGCCCTGCGATAGCCAGCCCCAAAAGGCACCCAAAGGAGAAGATGTGGCAGTCAGAAGAAGGAAGTCAGAGGTTCAGCAGCAGGGCTTCAACATATAGGAAGGAGCTCAGGACTTCCCAGCAGCGACAGGCACTGGGAGCATGCAGGGGGCTGGGGCATGGTGGGAGAAACGAGCCAGGAGCCAAAATCCATCACCAAGGATGGTAATTGGTAGTGGATCAACATCCTGACCTTCTTCCGATGCAGTTTTTGCTCTTCCCTGAATTCCTCCATTTTCTTTGCTTCTTCCCAAAGGGTTTGTGCCAGCTAGATCTGACCTTCTCCCACACTACCTCTGCAAAGAAAAGAAAGTTTCATATATAGAGAGAGAGATACACACAAATATATATATATATATACACACATACATTAAAAGACTGTTGCTCAAATCACCTGCTGTAGCTGACATCAAACCGAGCCCATTGTACAACTCCATTTCCAGAAACAGATAAAAGCAGCAGGAAGTCTGAAACGGCGTCCATGCAGCATTAGCTATGTCAGCTTCAGTCATGCTGGGGGTCACCTTTCAGCATAAGAAAACTGGAATCAAGAAGTTCTTCAAGCAAGCACAGTCACATCTGCCCCTCACCCCAATGAATACAGCCAGCTTTCAACACACAGCAACCTGAAGCAAAGAGTTGCCGCAGGTTAGCACACAGTCAAGCTGGGGCACAGAAAAAGTGATGCTAAAAAACCCTCAGCTTCATCCTGTTGAAAGTGAGTGGCCATACCGCAGAACAGCACCCCAGTAAGCTCATTGAGAGACATATGTTAAGTGTAGCTCAGGATTCAAGACCCGGAGCTGTTTCAAACCCACAGCCATGAATAGCCAGCTGCTTCGACAGCAGAGCCATGCTGGGGACGTTCACCAAGGCTCAGGGCAGACAAATGTGGCTGCGGCTGTGTGTGGACTCAGCACAGGAGAGCAGAGTGCTAGCCCTCGGGGTAGGGATACTGCCCACCATGTGTGCATGGAAATGAAGGCACAATGTAAGGTGGCCAAGGCATCATCTTGTAGATGCTCTGACTAGAAGTGTGGAATCATTTAGGCTGGAAAAGACCTTTAAGATTATTGAGTCCAAACCGTTTACCCTACGCTGCTAAATCCACCACTACACCGTGTCTCGAAGTGCAACATCTGCACACCTTCTAAACACTTCCAGGGATGGTGACTCCACCACTGCCCTGGGCAGCCTGTTCCAGTGCTTGACAACCCTCTCAGGGAAGAAACTGTTCCCAATACCCAGCCTAAAGCTCACCTGGTGCAGCTTGAGGTCGTTTCCTCTTGTCCTATCACGTGGTACTTGGGCAAGGAGACAGACCCCCACCTCACAACCTCCTTTCAGGTGATAGAATCATTGCAGTACAGCCCCTCAATGGTGGCCAGGGACTAGAAAAGTCTGGGAAATTCAACTGTTAAATGTGCATCCCAGGACAGAGGAACCTCTGCCAGATCCCACAGTTATAGTGTTGACAATACAGGAACGTGTATTTGCACACCTACCCCACCACCACCCAAATCATGTACATGGACTTGGGAAATAGAGATCATACACTACCTCAGAAGAATGTGTCACAGCGAGGATTATTAAGCTTAAGAGATTCAGGTAGAAGTAGAGCTACGTACCCAGGGATTCAGGATTCTGTCTTCAAACAGTAGTTTGCAAGATACATTTGTCACCGAACATGTAAAAAAACTCCTTTGCAGCAGTACCATCCTCACTGCTGCAGCCAGGATCAGTCGCGTTGGCTTAAGGGGGAATGAGCACGGTGGTAACGAAGTCCGTGTTTAAGGAAAGATAAAACCTGCCCTGTGTGGCGACAGTCTGGCTTGACTTCATGTGTGGCTCCAGCCATGCCCTACCACCAAATAAATCATGGAAGCACAGCCACAAAATAAAACTTGTTCTGGAATCACAGCCATAGCTGACACTTAGCTCTGACCCTTGTTTTCTCAAACAGTGGTCAATTAATTTCACCGACTTATTCTCAAAGGGCTTTGACAACCAGGACTTCACTGCCGTTGCTCTCCGGGGTGCCAGTGTACAAGATGAAAGAGGTCAGGCAATTCAGAGAAACATTTCCAACTTGATCTGGCTGTGAGGCAAGGTATTTCAGTTCAGATCATTCCACAACTACTGAAACCTGGGCAGGGACAACCTATTAGACCAGGTTGTGCTAAGCCCCGTCCAGCCTGGCCTAGATCACTGCCAGGGATGGGACATGTGTTTTCAGATAGGCACACCCCGCCCCCGATCTAGCCGCTTCCAGCAGCAGACAAACAAACACGGACACAAGCACGGCCTGGAGCTGACACCCTCTCCGCCGCTTTAAACCACTCAGGAATAGGCGCGAACACGAGACAAAGGGCTGACGAACACCCCCCCCCGGCGTGTACCAGCCCCGCAGGCTCCTCCCCGCCCCTTAAGCTCGCCGGACCCACCACAACCGGCAGGCGGCGGAAGCAGCCCGGACGAGGACCGGAGGAGCCTCACCCGGAGCCGATCCCCGCCTTCCCCCCGCACCTCGGCCTGCTCTTGGTGTGGGCCTTGCGGGGCGCCCTCACGGCCTCCACCAGGGCCATACTCTGCGGCACCACCAGCCGCAGCCACGGGTACTGCGGGCGGAAGCGAGGGGGAGATTGACACCGCCCCCACCCGCTCCCTTCCAGTCAGCAGGGCGGTGGCTACGTGAAGCACGGAAGGACTCAGCGCAGAACGCAGAGCTGGGAGCCGGAGCATGGCCGCCAGGCCTGGGTGAGGCAGGTCTCCTGTCAGGATGGGAGCGGGCTTGGGTAGGCTCACATATAGGCTCAGATATGGGAAGCTAGGTTCCTTAGTAAGGGCGTGGGAGAGGTGGGACTACCCCATAGGATCCTGTGGGGAGGCCAGGCCCTCCATAAGTGTTAGAGATGAGGATCGGCCCTCCTACAAGGGCCTGTGGGGGAACAGAATCCTTTATAAAGTGCTGTGTGGAGGCCAAGCTCCTCTACAGGAGCCTGGGAGGGAGGTAAGTTCCCTACTGAGGACCGGCTGGGAGGCCAGGATCATCTCTAGGAGCCGGGAAAGAATCCAAACTTCTCTATAAGGGAGTGGCCAGGCTCCCCCCTAAAAGGACTGGCAGGGAGGCAAGGCTCATCTAGAGGAGCCTAGGAGGAGGCCAGCTTCGCCTATAGGGACCTGTGGAGGGGCCAGGCTCTCCTGTAACGCCCCCGGTGCGGAGGGGGGTGGGGAGGGAGTCTCCTCCATAAGAGTCTGGGACAAGGCCAGGTGTCTCTATAAGGGTCTGTGGGGAGGTCCAGCTGCCGCTATAGGGAATGCGAGGTAAGAAACCAAGGCCCTACTACTGAGGCTGGGGAGTGTGAGTTCTCTTCTTTCTACTTGTGCCGTAGCAGGACCCGGAAGTGCCACCGGAGCGGGGCAGCCTGTCTGCAGTGCCTGAGGCATCTCCAGCCGCAGCGGGGCTCCAGTCTCAGCCTGGGGGACCAGGCGTCACTGACCCTTTTGATCCCTACTCAGGTGCTCAGCTGCCCCAGGGAGCCACCGCTGGAGCCGAGCATGCCCCACTGGAGCAGAAGTGATTGCAGCCAGTCCCCAGATGGAGGAGTCCCTGCAGAGCTCAGTCCCTCCTTGCAGAAGACATTGTAGTCAAAGACCTAATGATCTTGAACAGGTAATGTCCACTCTCTTAGGCCTTGTACTTGGCCTTGAGAAGACCCTTTGTTATCAACATCATGTGTCATTTATAATACCTGTGGAAAGGTAAATTGCGTGTGGGTCAAGGCAGAGATGATCCTGACCAGGAGCCCATTGCACATTACGGAGGTGGTGATCCCTGAGCAGGCACAGGGCTGGTCTGCACTGCCCAAGGCCTGCTAACGGGGTTTATGGGCAGCTCCTGCCTGATACTGACACACCAGCTGCCTGGCCCTGCCTGTATCTGGAAACGCAGCAAGAAGTGCTCCTGTGAACTTCCTTCATAACTAATGCTGTTTTCTTGTGATGCTTTATGTATTAGCTCATAGGACCAAAAAGGAAGAGGTCTAACTCTGCCTGAAGGCAGGATGCCCAGCATCTGAAGGGACATAAGACTTCCATGCTACCTGTATCCCTCTGCTTATTTTGTCTTACTAAAGCAGCTGTGGCCTCTCTGTCCCTAGGGGGGAAGGCAGGAGCTGTGCAGCTGGTTATCAGGCTCTCTTGTTAGGCCCTTCACTTCTGTGGGTGTCTGGGAGGAGGACAGACCCCTCTAGAGAGGCCTGTGAGGAAACTCAGCCTGACTCTAGGGGAGCAGGGGGAGGCTAAAGTCTTGGTGTGTTCTGTCCAGAGCTGTCGTGGTATTGAGCAAGTAGGAAATAAAGGCTGAGCAAGGATATGCTCTTGTAGGCTTCCTCCCAGGAGAAGGAACCTGAACATCCTAGGGTGCTTTGAAGGTGTACCACGCCCTAGCCTAGATAAAAAAAGTGAGTATGACATCTTTCAGAAGAAAGATAGCCACCACGCAAGTCTCAAAACTTAATCATAGAAGATGTATGTAAGAACTAAGACTACAGCAGGGTCCTTCAGCAGAATATTTCTACACTTGGTCTTTCAGAAATAAAAATGGACAGCCGATTCCTTCGCATGTGCACTTTGCACAGTCCGTTGTAGTGCATCAGGAGAGATGTTTAAGCTCACTGCCATCTTCTCCGCAGAAGGAAATACAGTAAAAGCTCCGGGAACTGTTTGGCTTAGACATGCACTGAAGTCACGCAGATTCAACTTGAAGAATATCATACATCAGCAACTCCCGTTGCTCCAAAGTTAAGGCACCTGGCACCGGGTTTAAACAGCTGAACTGTGTGCTGGTCCCCTTATCCTCCATCCCTGTGCCATAAGGCACGGAGGAGCTTCTTAAGCAATGCTGCACATGAGGATATGAGAGAGACCAGCAGCCCTGCAGCACATGAGTTTCTGAATCAAAGCCGTGATCACGTATATGGTAACAAAAAAAGCAAGAACTTTGGGAGATACGGTCAGAAAATGAGTTTCAGGGCTCCAGCCCAACATTAACAACTAAGTTTTTTTCCAGTGGTACATAGTCACAACAAGTCCAAGGGACTTCTTTACCAGAAGTTAATCAAATGAGGGTCTGCAGAGCCTACCAGGCACAAGCTATACCGTGAACCTAGAAGTCTGCAAGCCCCTCCTTGGAGAGGTGGTTGAAGAGCTGACCAACTTCTCCAGATCCTCAGCAACACTGCAGGGTGCAGGTTTGTGGCAGCACAGCCTCTCACTGGGTAGCTGCGCTGTGGACTGCTACACCAAGCAAGATCAGAGTAGGGTGGTGGTCCCATGAGCATTTGTTTTGACAAAGTTAGTTCCACAAAGTTGTTTCAAGAAGTTGCACACGTCTTCCTATATATGGAATTATGTAGCACCATATAGCTATTCATACACCTGCTACTACAACTATAGAAGTAAAAGCTGATATCACCATTCCTCTCCATTTTCCAAATCAGGATTCTAACCATCCTGTTAATGAAGTAACCTGTTCTTGTATTTTCAGCCGGCTCTTCTGCCAACATAGTGAGGCTTTGTAAGGCCCTGGTTATGCCTCCATCTGGTGTTGTATTATTTGGAATAGATGTGCAACACGTATTCCCTAGCATTATGCATATTCCTCCCTTTTCAGCTAATATATCTAAAACGATTCTATTTTCCCTGGATATTTGACCCGTTCTACCCAGACATTTCTATTTCTATATCCTGTTTCTATTTCAAACATCTACTTCAAATCTTTAATTGCAATTACATTTACTATCTTAGGACTATTTGGTGGAGTGCGTGTGCCCACCGATGGAGGAATGGTGGATGTCCACAGGCTGGTCGCATTCGTTCCTCTTTGGCTCCCAAACCCCTATTCTAAATCTAGCAATTGAATCCCCTCCTGTCACATCTGCCCCCCAGCCATGAACCTGGCTTATTGCCCCTCCAGCACTTGCATTAGCAAGGGCACGGGACCACACTCTAACGCCCCACATTCAGATTCTATGTGACCTTTACATATCATAATTTTACTTTGTAGAGATTTTCTCTATGCGCTGGGTGAGATCCACCCATTAAAGCCAGTTGTAAACCAAACATCACCCAGGACAAGGTGATTCCCAGTATGGTTGGAGATAATACTCTGGGTATAAATAAGTTACCTCAACTTACTGCTTAACCAGCCTGCACCGGTTTAGTTTCCTAGGTTATACGTAGATAGTATTCTTTTTAACCACAGTGTGTCTTTCATCTAGAGATGACACTGTCTTTAATCACAAAGCGTGTCTATTTGAATAAGTAGATCTCAAACCCTTTCCTTCATTGCCTTAGGAACTTAATCCCAGACCTAGTATTGAAAACTCTTATTATTTTTGCAAAGTTTTACTATTGATCTTAAAGCTCTAAGATTGGAAAGTCTTAATATTGTAAAGCCCCATCCCCAAATATGCGAAAACAACACTGTTTCTCTCACAGCTGGGAGTAACTGGAAACACCACCACACTGGCCAGACCAACAGTGTCTTCTGCCTGGAGAACCTACAAACAGGATCAACAGCATCTAGTGATGTAGCCGTCAACTGTGGCATAATCAGGCTCACCTGAAACAGAGAGCACAAAAAAAAATGAGGTCTGCTTATGAGAAGTGCTCGTTACAAGACTACACAGGACAGAAACACTGGCCACCTGTGTCAAAGGGATGGAAGGCAATGGTGGATGAGGCTGAAAGAGATGTCTTGATTCTATGATTCTATGATTTGCCAAACAACCAAGGCATTTTACCAAGTTCCATCACCAAAGTGCCTCTGGGAATTATATAGCTCATGGTGCTGAATGAGGGAAAGGCCCAAACTGCAGAGTGGTGGGATCCCAAGCTTGGACATCCTTAAGCTCCATAAATGCCTACATACAGGGCTTTGATCAGAACTTCTCCTTAGTGAAACCTTGTCTCCAAAGTCAGAGTCCAGCTTCCCAGGATCTTTCGGGGGGGGTGGGGGGGGGGGCGGACTTCACCTAAACCATTCCCTTTAGACAGCTAACGCTCACGATCTGATGGGGAAGAGCAAAAGCAGAGTTCTTCTGTGGAGCCAGAAACCCCATAAAGCAAGTAATTCTGGTGCACTGGTCGGGGTGGGTAGAGGTGCCTTCCTGCACATTAGAAAAGTCAGAGCTGAGGATCTGCGTGGCTCCGGGACTCCCAGTGCCCTGGCTCTGTGCTCCCCAACTGCCCTCCCAGACCTAGTGGGAAGGCAAGAGGTTAGGCCAGCCTGGGCTTTACAGAGACCTGATACCAAGGCACGTCATGGTGGGCTAACATGAAGCCGGAGGGCACTGCGGAAATAGTTGATCCGCTCGCACTCCTGGGTCTCAAAGAACTGAAACGACACAGACAAAACAGCCCTAACATCTGTGAGAAGAGAGCAAATCTCCTCTATTCTGATCTCTTCTCATCCCACTACAAAGATCTCTGTCCACAGCAACGAGCAGGTGATGTTGGTCTTCTGCAGGAAACATGGTAACCATGAGTCATAGAATCATAGAACCAACTAGGCTGGAAAAGACCTCGTCCAGACAAGAAGTCATCCCTTTACACACCCAGGTATTTCAAAGATGAGCGTTAAGTTCAGGAAGGTCTGCAGGGCCCATGCGGAAGGGGTCACTCAGCACAACACTACCTCTGGGGAGACGAAGCCAGCTTCCTAAAGGCACTGCATGTTTCCTAGGTACCCCATGGTCCTGCAGTCCCAGCTGACTTCTCTCCCACAACTATGGAGCAATAAAAAAGCATGGGGATCTACGAAAGCAAAGTGTCTTGACTCGTTTGTCTTCTCTCTCTTTCCTGCCCATCCCTTTTCCAAGTAGCTTTAAGCCCAAGTCTTCTGAAATGTGCTGTCTGGTGTAGCTCAATTTCATGAACCTGGAAGGCAGCCTTTCATCCCACATGCGCATATGCACTTGTTATCACTTGTTGTTTTCCAGCTTGCAGCAGACATGGGATAAAACCTCAACCTCTGCACTTCCTGTCCATAGAATCACAGAATCATAGAATAGGGTTGGGAAGGACCTTAAGATCATCTAGTTCCAGCCCTCCTGCAATGGGCAGGGACACCTCGCACTAAACCATGCCACCCAAGACTGCGTCCAACCTGGCCTTGAAGGCTGCCAGGGATGGAGCGTTCACAGCTTTCTTGGGCAGCCCATTCCAGTGCCTCACCACCTTCACAGTAAAGAACTTCTTCCTTATATCTAAAGTAAACTTCCCCTGCTTAAGTTTGAAGCCATTACCCCTTGTCCTGACACTACAGTCCCTAACAAAGAGTCCCCTCCCCAGCATTCTCGTAGGCCCCTTTCAGATACTGGAAGCTGCTCGGAGGACTCCACGCAGCCTTATCCCCTCCAGTCTGAACAGCCGCAACTTTCTCAGCCTGTCTTCATATGGGAGGTACTCCAGCCCCCTTGTCATCCTCGTGGCCCTCCTCTGGACTAGCCCCAACAGCTCCACGTCCTTCTCATATTGAGGACACCAGAACTGTACGCAATACTCCAAGTGAGGTCTCACGAGAGCAGAGGAGCCGCATCACCTCATTAAACCCTTGGTTACACATCACAGACAGCTGCAAGACACAGGTCAGCAGCAGAGCAGCATCACGGTCCTCTTGCAACCAGCTCTGGATTTCCCTGGCACTTGCTGGAAGTCCTGGCTAGACCATTTTGCTATGACACAGTCTGCTTTAGACTGATACATCTGCTCAGAGGGGTTCCCATGCTACCACGTGAGATATATGGCGAAGGGCTGCTGGCACACTGGGTTCACATGGAGATGGCTTCACCCAGCTTGCATCCCCAGTGTGTCAGCGCCTTCTACTGCAAATTCATTTAAAGTCCATCAGAGTTTCAGAGTCTGCTAGGTGGTGTCGTGGCTGTAGAACACACTGGCCATAAGTCACTGAGTACCTGGAAGTGACTACGGCTGTTCAGGATAATGGCCACACCAAACGCGCAAGCAGGTTAATGGGCGAAAAGGTCACTGCTTTGATTCTGTTACTTTGAAAAGGTAGTGGAAGGAAAAATAAAAACAAACAAAAAAAATATAGTGGAAACCTTGAAGTGGTGGGATCTTAAGTGCAGAAGGCACGCCTAAGGCACACACAGTGTTAGCTGCAACACATCCTGCTGCTTCACTGCCAGGGCAACAGAGAGAAGGCAGATCTGTGCCATCCCGGACTTCTACAACAAGGAGTGGACATCCAGAGGACCACACTGCCACGTGAAGGTGTCTGGGGGCTTTCACCTCACAAGCTTTGACGTGCTCTTTGCCGTTCTTCCCGGATCTTCTCCAGTGTGGTAACGCTCTGCTGGTAACTCCTGCCTTTGAAACAAATCACACTGTCATCTGATTAACATGGATTAAAAGGACCCTTTGCTAGAAGGCACTACACAAAACCTGAATCGGCAGGGACGTCAGGGAGAAAGCAGCAGTAACGTGTGAGCTCAGCTATGGATGTGCACTGCAAGGAAATACAGAGCTGTGCAGCAAGGTGGAAGGTCATGCCACAGAGAAACGGTGAGAAACGGGAAATGGGGTGCGAAGCCATCTCTGCTATGTTGGGCATGAGTTTCTGAGGAGCCAGCCCTGACCCAGAAGCTGGAGCTCGCTCAAGAGCCATGCCATGGCTTCACAACCCCTGCCCCAGCAAACACTCCCCTCACCCTCCAAACCCTGCATTGCCACACTCACCAGAGTCTTCCGGAGGTGATTTCATCTGAGCCAGATTGAGGAACAGCTGCCAAAACTGGGAGACAGAAGAAAGCTACAGGAGAGCTAACGTGCATCACAACGGTATTGAAGGCCAGCTAGAGAACATTGCCAGCCCTTCCATCTCACCCCCAAACCCAGAGCTGGGAGAAGAGTTATGGGGCAGGAGAGCCCAAAGAGCATACACCCTTCCTGTCCCATGGCCACCCGCCTCTCTATACCTTCTCCTGCTGCTTCTGTGTAACCACGTTTGTGTTGTGGTGCACAGCTTGTTCCGCCTCACCCTTATCCATGCGGTGCTGCTCATAAAGGCGCTTGGCCTAGGAGAGCCAACAAACAGGGCAGGAGCGTGTTAGCAAGCAAGGAGGTACTATTACAGCTCGTGCACATAGCTCTAGAGCAAAACAACCTCCAAGTGAAGAGGTTACCAAAGGCTGCCCGCAGAGCAGGGGACAGCACACAAGGCACTCAGTGCCCTGCTGCTTGACCAAAACTGACCTCACAAGACAAGCTGCTCTTCATTTGGCATGAAAAGCTCATAGCAATCGAGTCCGTGACATCTAAATCACTCTTATCCAACCGTGCAAGGCTGCTACCAGCCACGTCCCTGGTGTACTCTTCAGTTTTTCAGAGCACACTATGCAGACTTAAATGTGACGGTCTTCCTCTGCTGCAGCTCTTGATGTAGTGTCTGCATGAGTTGCAGCAGAGGAAGACCCTCATATGTAAGACTGTGCCAGCACTGTGCGCGTATGGTAGCAGTGTTAAACCATAGAGCAAGAAAGAGCAGCATGTTTGCTTTACCACCATGGTCTTCTCGTACTGCAGACTCCTGATTTTCTGAATCGCCTCCATTATCAGGTCTATCTGTGATGACAAGAGAGTCAACACATCACTGAGCATCGAAGCTTCACGATGGACTATGTGGCTTAGGAAAGGAAGAGGCACAGACCAAATTCAGATGGCCTTAAGGACCTATGTCCACATCAAGCATCTTCACAAAACCCACCTTTTATACTTCTAGCTAAGCCTCCACCTGTCTATGCAATGGAACTCTACAAATGAAATCCACCATTATATAGTACTGTATCATCTCCATTGAATCTAGGAAAATTGGGAAGCCAGCTCCCTTCTGCTACGTCCAAACTTGCAGCAGTTTTCTCTCATTTTCCAGACAAAGGAATCTCAAGCCAGAAGAGGTTAAAAGACTTGCCAATTTTAGCAAACCCTATGGACATCACGCAACACTATAATGTATGAGATATATGTCTCTATGCTTTAAGAACATTCCTGGTTGAGGCTGGTGTCTCTGGAGGTGAGCCCTGCGATAGCCAGCCCCAAAAGGCACCCAAAGGAGAAGATGTGGCAGTCAGAAGAAGGAAGTCAGAGGTTCAGCAGCAGGGCTTCAACATATAGGAAGGAGCTCAGGACTTCCCAGCAGCGACAGGCACTGGGAGCATGCAGGGGGCTGGGGCATGGTGGGAGAAACGAGCCAGGAGCCAAAATCCATCACCAAGGATGGTAATTGGTAGTGGATCAACATCCTGACCTTCTTCCGATGCAGTTTTTGCTCTTCCCTGAATTCCTCCATTTTCTTTGCTTCTTCCCAAAGGGTTTGTGCCAGCTAGATCTGACCTTCTCCCACACTACCTCTGCAAAGAAAAGAAAGTTTCATATATAGAGAGAGAGATACACACAAATATATATATATATATACACACATACATGAAAAGACTGTTGCTCAAATCACCTGCTGTAGCTGACATCAAACCGAGCCCATTGTACAACTCCATTTCCAGAAACAGATAAAAGCAGCAGGAAGTCTGAAACGGCGTCCATGCAGCATTAGCTATGTCAGCGTCAGTCATGCTGGGGGTCACCTTTCAGCATAAGAAAACTGGAATCAAGAAGTTCTTCAAGCAAGCACAGTCACATCTGCCCCTCACCCCTATGAATACAGCCAGCTTTCAACACACAGCAACCTGAAGCAAAGAGTTGCCGCAGGTTAGCACACAGTCAAGCTGGGGCACAGAAAAAGTGATGCTAAAAACCCTCAGCTTCATCCTGTTGAAAGTGAGTGGCCATACCGCAGAACAGCACCCCAGTAAGCTCATTGAGAGACATATGTTAAGTGTAGCTCAGGATTCAAGACCCGGAGCTGTTTCAAACCCACAGCCATGAATAGCTAGCTGCTTCGACAGCAGAGCCATGCTGGGGACGTTCACCAAGGCTCAGGGCAGCAGACAAATGTGGCTGCGGCTGTGTGTGGACTCAGCACAGGAGAGCAGAGTGCTAGCCCTCGGGGTAGGGATACTGCCCACCATGTGTGCATGGAAATGAAGACACAATGTAAGGTGGCCAAGGCATCATCTTGTAGATGCTCTGACTAGAAGTGTGGAATCATTTAGGCTGGAAAAGACCTTTAAGATTATTGAGTCCAACCGTTTACCCTACGCTGCTAAATCCACCACTACACCGTGTCTCGAAGTGCAACATCTGCATACCTTCTAAACACTTCCAGGGATGGTGACTCCACCACTGCCCTGGGCAGCCTGTTCCAGTGCTTGACAACCCTCTCGGGGAAGAAACTGTTCCCAATACCCAGCCTAAAGCTCACCTGGTGCAGCTTGAGGTCGTTTCCTCTTGTCCTATCACGTGGTACTTGGGCAAGGAGACAGACCCCCACCTCACAACCTCTTTTCAGGTGATAGAATCATTGCAGTACAGCCCCTCAATGGTGGCCAGGGCTTAGAAAAGTCTGGGAAATTCAAGTGTTAAACGTGCATCCCAGGACAGAGGAACCTCTGCCAGATCCCACAGTTATAGTGTTGACAATACAGGAACGTGTATTTGCACACCTACCCCACCACCACCCAAATCATGTACATGGACTTGGGAAATAGAGATCATACACTACCTCAGAAGAATGTGTCACAGCGAGGATTATTAAGCTTAAGAGATTCAGGTAGAAGTAGAGCTACGTACCCAGGGATTCAGGATTCTGTCTTCAAACAGTAGTTTGCAAGATACATTTGTCACCGAACATGTAAAAAAACTTCCTTTGCAGCAGTACCATCCTCACTGCTGCAGCCAGGATCAGTCGCGTTGGCCTAAGGTGGAATGAGCACGGTGGTAACGAAGTCCGTGTTTAAGGAAACATAAAACCTGCCCTGTGTGGCGACAGTCTGCTTGACTTCATGTGTGGCTCCAGCCATGCCCTGCCACCAAATAAATCATGGAAGCACAGCCACAAAATAAAACTTGTTCTGGAATCACAGCCATAGCTGACACTTAGCTCTGACCCTTGTTTTCTCGAACAGTGGTCAATTAATTCACCGACTTATTCTCAAAGGGCTTTGACAACCAGGACTTCACTGCCGTTGCTCTCCGGGGTGCAGTGTACAACATGAAAGAGGTTAGGCAATTCAGAGAAACATTTCCAACTTGATCTGGCTGTGAGGCAAGGTATTTCAGTTCAGATCATTCCACAACTACTGAAACCTGGGCAGGGACACCTTCCATTAGACCAGGTTGTGCTAAGCCCCGTCCAGCCTGGCCTAGATCACTGCCAGGGATGGGACATGTGTTTTCAGATAGGCACACCCCGCCCCCGATCTAGCCGCTTCCAGCAGCAGACAAACAAACACGGACACAAGCACGGCCTGGAGCTGACACCCTCTCCGCCGCTTTAAACCCACTCAGGAATAGGCGCGAACACGAGACAAAGGGCTGACGAACACCCCCCCCTCCGGCGTGTACCAGCCCCGCAGGCTCCTCCCCGCCCCTCTAAGCTCGCCGGACCCACCACAACCGGCAGGCGGCGGAAGCAGCCCGGACGAGGACCGGAGGAGCCTCACCCGGAGCCGATCCCCGCCTTCCCCCCGCACCTCGGGCCTGCTCTTGGTGTGGGCCTTGCGGGGCGCCCTCACGGCCTCCACCAGGGCCATACTCTGCGGCACCACCAAGCCGCAGCCACGGGTACTGCGGGCGGAAGCGAGGGGGAGATTGACACCGCCCCCACCCGCTCCCTTCCAGTCAGCAGGGCGGTGGCTACGTGAAGCACGGAAGGACTCAGCGCAGAACGCAGAGCTGGGAGCCGGAGCATGGCCGCCAGGCCTGGGTGAGGCAGGTCTCCTGTCAGGATGGGAGCGGGCTTGGGGTAGGCTCACATATAGGCTCAGATATGGGAAGGCTAGGTTCCTTAGTAAGGGCGTGGGGAGAGGTGGGACTACCCCATAGGATCCTGTGGGGAGGCCAGGCCCCTCCATAAGTGTTAGAGATGAGGATCGGCCCTCCTACAAGGGCCTGTGGGGGAACAGAATCCTTTATAAAGTGCTGTGTGGAGGCCAAGCTCCTCTACAGGAGCCTGGGAGGGAGGTAAGTTCCCCTACTGAGGACCGGCTGGGAGGCCAGGATCATCTCTAGGAGCCGGGAAAGAATCCAAACTTCTCTATAAGGGAGTGGCCAGGCTCCCCCTAAAAGGACTGGCAGGGAGGCAAGGCTCATCTAGAGGAGCCTAGGAGGAGGCCAGCTTCGCCTATAGGGACCTGTGGAGGGGCCAGGCTCTCCTGTAACGCCCCCGGTGCGGAGGGGGGTGGGGAGGGAGTCTCCTCCATAAGAGTCTGGGACAAGGCCAGGTGTCTCTATAAGGGTCTGTGGGGAGGTCCAGCTGCCGCTATAGGGAATGCGAGGTAAGAAACCAAGGCCCTACTACTGAGGCTGGGGAGTGTGAGTTCTCTTCTTTCTACTTGTGCCGTAGCAGGACCCGGAAGTGCCACCGGAGCGGGGCAGCCTGTCTGCAGTGCCTGAGGCATCTCCAGCCGCAGCGGGGCTCCAGTCTCAGCCTGGGGGACCAGGCGTCACTGACCCTTTTGATCCCTACTCAGGTGCTCAGCTGCCCCAGGGAGCCACCGCTGGAGCCGAGGCCATGCCCCACTGGAGCAGAAGTGATTGCAGCCAGTCCCCAGATGGAGGAGTCCCTGCAGAGCTCAGTCCCTCCTTGCAGAAGACATTGTAGTCAAAGACCTAATGATCTTGAACAGGTAATGTCCACTCTCTTAGGCCTTGTACTTGGCCTTGAGAAGACCCTTTGTTATCAACATCATGTGTCATTTATAATACCTGTGGGAAAGGTAAATTGCGTGTGGGTCAAGGCAGAGATGATCCTGACCAGGAGCCCATTGCACATTACGGAGGTGGTGATCCCCTGAGCAGGCACAGGGCTGGTCTGCACTGCCCAAGGCCTGCTAACGGGGTTTATGGGCAGCTCCTGCCTGATACTGACACACCAGCTGCCTGGCCCTGCCTGTATCTGGAAACGCAGCAAGAAGTACTCCTGTGAACTTCCTTCATAACTAATGCTGTTTTCTTGTGATGCTTTATGTATTAGCTCATAGGACCAAAAAGGAAGAGCTCTAACTCTGCCTGAAGGCAGGATGCCTAGCATCTGAAGGGACATAAGACTTCCATGCTACCTGTATCCCTCTGCTTATTTTGTCTTACTAAAGCAGCTGTGGCCTCTCTGTCCCTAGGGGGGAAGGCAGGAGCTGTGCAGCTGGTTATCAGGCTCTCTTGTTAGGCCCTTCACTTCTGTGGGTGTCTGGGAGGAGGACAGACCCCTCTAGAGAGGCCTGTGAGGAAACTCAGCCTGACTCTAGGGGAGCAGGGGGAGGCTAAAGTCTTGGTGTGTTCTGTCCCAGAGCTGTCGTGGTATTGAGCAAGTAGGAAATAAAGGCTGAGCAAGGATATGCTCTTGTAGGCTTCCTCCCAGGAGAAGGAACCTGAACATCCTAGGGTGCTTTGAAGGTGTACCAGCCCTAGCCTAGATAAAAAAAGTAAGTATGACATCTTTCAGAAGAAAGATAGCCACCACGCAAGTCTCAAAACTTAATCATAGAAGATGTATGTAAGAACTAAGACTACAGCAGGGTCCTTCAGCAGAATATTTCTACACTTGGTCTTTCAGAAATAAAAATGGACAGCCGATTCCTTCGCATGTGCACTTTGCACAGTCCGTTGTAGTGCATCAGGAGAGATGTTTAAGCTCACTGCCATCTTCTCCGCAGAAGGAAATACAGTAAAAGCTCCGGGAACTGTTTGGCTTAGACATGCACTGAAGTCACGCAGATTCAACTTGAAGAATATCATACATCAGCAACTCCCGTTGCTCCAAAGTTAAGGCACCTGGCACCGGGTTTAAACAGCTGAACTGTGTGCTGGTCCCCTTATCCTCCATCCCTGTGCCATAAGGCACTGAGGAGCTTCTTAAGCAATGCTGCACATGAGGATATGAGAGAGACCAGCAGCCCTGCAGCACATGAGTTTCTGAATCAAAGCCGTGATCACGTATATGGTAACAAAAAAAGCAAGAACTTTGGGAGATACGGTCAGAAAATGAGTTTCAGGGCTCCAGCCCAACATTAACAACTAAGTTTTTTTCCAGTGGTACATAGTCACAACAAGTCCAAGGGACTTCTTTACCAGAAGTTAATCAAATGAGGGTCTGCAGAGCCTACCAGGCACAAGCTATACCGTGAACCTAGAAGTCTGCAAGCCCCTCCTTGGAGAGGTGGTTGAAGAGCTGACCAACTTCTCCAGATCCTCAGCAACACTGCAGGGTGCAGGTTTGTGGCAGCACAGCCTCTCACTGGGTAGCTGCGCTGTGGACTGCTACACCAAGCAAGATCAGAGTAGGGTGGTGGTCCCATGAGCATTTGTTTTGACAAAGTTAGTTCCACAAAGTTGTTTCAAGAAGTTGCACACGTCTTCCTATATATGGAATTATGTAGCACCATATAGCTATTCATACACCTGCTACTACAACTATAGAAGTAAAAGCTGATATCACCATTCCTCTCCATTTTCCAAATCAGGATTCTAACCATCCTGTTAATGAAGTAACCTGTTCTTGTATTTTCAGCCGGCTCTTCTGCCAACATAGTGAGGCCTTGTAAGGCCCTGGTTATGCCTCCATCTGGTGTTGTATTATTTGGAATAGATGTGCAACACGTATTCCCTAGCATTATGCATATTCCTCCCTTTTCAGCTAATATATCTAAAACGATTCTATTTTCCCTGGATATTTGACCCGTTCTACCCAGACATTTCTATTTCTATATCCTGTTTCTATTTCAAACATCTACTTCAAATCTTTAATTGCAATTACATTTACTATCTTAGGACTATTTGGTGGAGTGCGTGTGCCCACCGATGGAGGAATGGTGGATGTCCACAGGCTGGTCGCATTCGTTCCTCTTTGGCTCCCAAACCCCTATTCTAAATCTAGCAATTGAATCCCCTCCTGTCACATCTGCCCCCCAGCCATGAACTTGCCTTATTGCCCCTCCAGCACTTGCAATAGCAAGGGCACGGGACCACACTCTAACGCCCCACATTCAGATTCTATGTGACCTTTACATATCATAATTTTACTTTGTAGAGATTTTCTCTATGCGCTGGGTGAGATCCACCCATTAAAGCCAGTTGTAAACCAAACATCACCCAGGACAAGGTGATTCCCAGTATGGTTGGAGATAATACTCTGGGTATAAATAAGTTACCTCAACTTACTGCTTAACCAGCCTGCACCGGTTTAGTTTCCTAGGTTATACATAGATAGTATTCTTTTTAACCACAGTGTGTCTTTCATCTAGAGATGACACTGTCTTTAAGCACAAAGCGTGTCTATTTGAATAAGTAGATCTCAAACCCTTTCCTTCATTGCCTTAGGAACTTAATCCCAGACCTAGTATTGAAAACTCTTATTATTTTTGCAAAGTTTTACTATTGATCTTAAAGCTCTAAGATTGAAAAGTCTTAATATTGTAAAGCCCCATCCCCAAATATGCGAAAACAACACTGTTTCTCTCACAGCTGGGAGTAACTGGAAACACCACCACACTGGCCAGACCAACAGTGTCTTCTGCCTGGAGAACCTACAAACAGGATCAACAGCATCTAGTGATGTAGCCGTCAACTGTGGCATAATCAGGCTCACCTGAAACAGAGAGCACAAAAAAAAAATGAGGTCTGCTTATGAGAAGTGCTCGTTACAAGACTACACAGGACAGAAACACTGGCCACCTGTGTCAAAGGGATGGAAGGCAATGGTGGATGAGGCTGAAAGAGATGTCTTGATTCTATGATTCTATGATTTGCCAAACAACCAAGGCATTTTACCAAGTTCCATCACCAAAGTGCCTCTGGGAATTATATAGCTCATGGTGCTGAATGAGGGAAAGGCCCAAACTGCAGAGTGGTGGGATCCCAAGCTTGGACATCCTTAAGCTCCACAAATGCCTACATACAGGCTTTGATCAGAACTTCTCCTTAGTGAAACCTTGTCTCCAAAGTCAGAGTCCAGCTTCCCAGGATCTTTCGGGGGGGGTGGGGGGGCGGACTTCACCTAAACCATTCCCTTTAGACAGCTAAAGCTCACGATCTGATGGGGAAGAGCAAAAGCAGAGTTCTTCTGTGGAGCCAGAAACCCCATAAAGCAAGTAATTCTGGTGCACTGGTCGGGGTGGGTAGAGGTGCCTTCCTGCACATTAGAAAAGTCAGAGCTGAGGATCTGCGTGGCTCCGGGACTCCCAGTGCCCTGGCTCTGTGCTCCCCAACTGCCCTCCCAGACCTAGTGGGAAGGCAAGAGGTTAGGCCAGCCTGGGCTTTACAGAGACCTGACACCAAGGCACGTCATGGTGGGCTAACATGAAGCCGGAGGGCACTGCGGAAATAGTTGAATCCGCTCGCACTCCTGGGTCTCAAAGAACTGAAAACGACACAGACAAAACAGCCCTAACATCTGTGAGAAGAGAGCAAATCTCCTCTATTCTGATCTCTTCTCATCCCACTACAAAGATCTCTGTCCACAGCAACGAGCAGGTGATGTTGGTCTTCTGCAGGAAACATGGTAACCATGAGTCATAGAATCATAGAACCAACTAGGCTGGAAAAGACCTCGTCCAGACAAGAAGTCATCCCTTTACACACCCAGGTATTTCAAAGATGAGCGTTAAGTTCAGGAAGGTCTGCAGGGCCCATGCGGAAGGGGTCACTCAGCACAACACTACCTCTGGGAGACGAAGCCAGCTTCCTAAAGCACTGCATGTTTCCTAGGTACCCCATGGTCCTGCAGTCCCAGCTGACTTCTCTCCACAACTATGGAGCAATAAAAAAGCATGGGGATCTACGAAAGCAAAGTGTCTTGACTCATTTGTCTTCTCTCTCTTTCCTGCCCATCCCTTTTCCAAGTAGCTTTAAGCCCAAGTCTTCTGATATGTGCTGTCTGGTGTAGCTCAATTTCATGAACCTGGAAGGCAGCCTTTCATCCCACATGCGCATATGCACTTGTTATCACTTGTTGTTTTCCAGCTTGCAGCAGACATGGGATAAAACCTCAACCTCTGCACTTCCTGTCCATAGAATCACAGAATCATAGAATAGGGTTGGGAAGGACCTTAAGATCATCTAGTTCCAGCCCTCCTGCAATGGGCAGGGACACCTCGCACTAAACCATGCCACCCAAGACTGCGTCCAACCTGGCCTTGAAGGCTGCCAGGGATGGAGTGTTCACAGTTTTCTTGGGCAGCCCATTCCAGTGCCTCACCACCTTCACAGTAAAGAACTTCTTCCTTATACCTAACGTAAACTTCCCCTGCTTAAGTTTGAAGCCATTACCCCTTGTCCTGACACTACAGTCCCTAACAAAGAGTCCCCTCCCCAGCATTCTCGTAGGCCCCTTCAGATACTGGAAGCTGCTGTGGAGGACCCACGCAGCCTTATCCCCTCGAGGCTGCAACGACCGCCAACTTTCTCAGCCTGTCTTCATATGGGAGGTACTCCAGCCCCCTTGTCATCCTCGTGGCCCTCCTCTGGACTAGCCCCCAACAGCTCCCACGTCCTTCTCATATTGAGGACACCAGAACTGTACGCAATACTCCAAGTGAGGTCTCACGAGAGCAGAGGAGCCGCATCACCTCATTAAACCCTTGGTTACACATCACAGACAGCTGCAAGGACACAGGTCAGCAGCAGAGCAGCATCACGGTCCTCTTGCAACCAGCTCTGGATTTCCCTGGCACTTGCTGGAAGTCCTGGCTAGACCATTTTGCTATGACACAGTCTGCTTTAGACTGATACATCTGCTCAGAGGGGTTCCCATGCTACCACGTGAGATATATGGCGAAGGGCTGCTGGCACACTGGGTTCACATGGAGATGGCTTCACCCAGCTTGCATCCCCAGTGTGTCAGCGCCTCTACTGCAAATTCATTTAAAAGTCCATCAGAGTTTCAGAGTCTGCTAGGTGGTGTCGTGGCTGTAGAACACACTGGCCATAAGTCACTGAGTACCTGGAGTGACTACGGCTGTTCAGGATAATGGCCACACCAAACGCGCAAGCAGGTTAATGGGCAAAAAGGTCACTGCTTTGATTCTGTTACTTTGAAAAGGTAGTGGAAGGAAAAATAAAAACAAACAAAAAAAAAATAGTGGAAACCTTGAAGTGGTGGGACGTTAAGTGCAGAAGGCACGCCTAAGGCACACACAGTGTTAGCTGGCAACACATCCTGCTGCTTCACTGCCAGGGCAACAGAGAGAAGGCAGATCTGTGCCATCCCGGACTTCTACAACAAGGAGTGGACATCCAGAGGACCACACTGCCACGTGAAGGTGTCTGGGGGCTTTCACCTCACAAGCTTTGACGTGCTCTTTTGCCGTTCTTCCCGGATCTTCTCCAGTGTGGTAACGCTCTGCTGGTAACTCCTGCCTTTGAAACAAATCACACTGTCATCTGATTAACATGGATTAAAAGGACCCTTTTGCTAGAAGCACTACACAAAACCTGAATCGGCAGGGACGTCAGGGAGAAAGCAGCAGTAACGTGTGAACTCAGTTATGGATGTGCACTGCAAGGAAATACAGAGCTGTGCAGCAAGGTGGAAGGTCATGCCACAGAGAAACGGTGAGAAACGGGAAATGGGGTGCGAAGCCATCTCTGCTATGTTGGGGCATGAGTTTCTGAGGAGCCAGCCCTGACCCAGAAGCTGGAGCTCGCTCAAGAGCCATGCCATGGCTTCACAACCCCTGCCCCAGCAAACACTCCCCTCACCCTCCAAACCCTGCATTGCCACACTCACCAGAGTCTTCCGGAGGTGATTTCATCTGAGCCAGATTGAGGAACAGCTGCCAAAACTGGGAGAGAGAAGAAAGCTACAGGAGAGCTAACGTGCATCACAACGGTATTGAAGGCCAGCTAGAGAACATTGCCAGCCCTTCCATCTCACCCCCAAACCCAGAGCTGGGAGAAGAGTTATGGGGCAGGAGAGCCCAAAGAGCATACACCCTTCCTGTCCCATGGCCACCCGCCTCTCTATACCTTCTCCTGCTGCTTCTGTGGTAACCACGTTTGTGTTGTGTGGTGCACAGCTTGTTCCGCCTCACCCCTATATCCATGCGGTGCTGAGGCGCTTGGCCTAGGAGAGCCAACAAACAGGGCAGGAGCGTGTTAGCAAGCAAGGAGGTACTATTACAGCTCGTGCACATAGCTCTAGAGCAAAACAACCTCCAAGTGAAGAGGTTACCAAAGGCTGCCCGCAGAGCAGGGGACAGCACACAAGGCACTCAGTGCCCTGCTGCTTGACCAAAACTGACCTCACAAGACAAGCTGCTCTTCATTTGGCATGAAAAGCTCATAGCAATCGAGTCCGTGACATCTAAATCACTCTTATCCAACCGTGCAAGGCTGCTACCAGCCACGTCCCTGGTGTACTCTTCAGTTTTTCAGAGCACACTATGCAGACTTAAATGTGACGGTCTTCCTCTGCTGCAGCTCTTGATGTAGTGTCTGCATGAGTTGCAGCAGAGGAAGACCCTCATATGTAAGACTGTGCCAGCACTGTGCGCGTATGGTAGCAGTGTTAAACCATAGAGCAAGAAAGAGCAGCATGTTTGCTTTACCACCATGGTCTTCTCGTACTGCAGACTCCTGATTTTCTGAATCGCCTCCATTATCAGGTCTATCTGTGATGACAAGAGAGTCAACACATCACTGAGCATCGAAGCTTCACGATGGACTATGTGGCTTAGGAAAGGAAGAGGCACAGACCAAATTCAGATGGCCTTAAGGACCTATGTCCACATCAAGCATCTTCACAAAACCCACCTTTTATACTTCTAGCTAAGCCTCCACCTGTCTATGCAATGGAACTCTACAAATGAAATCCACCATTATATAGTACTGTATCATCTCCATTGAATCTAGGAAAATTGGGAAGCCAGCTCCCTTCTGCTACGTCCAAACTTGCAGCAGTTTTCTCTCATTTTCCAGACAAAGGAATCTCAAGCCAGAAGAGGTTAAAAGACTTGCCAATTTTAGCAAACCCTATGGACATCACGCAACACTATAATGTATGAGATATATGTCTCTATGCTTTAAGAACATTCCTGGTTGAGGCTGGTGTCTCTGGAGGTGAGCCCTGCGATAGCCAGCCCCAAAAGGCACCCAAAGGAGAAGATGTGGCAGTCAGAAGAAGGAAGTCAGAGGTTCAGCAGCAGGGCTTCAACATATAGGAAGGAGCTCAGGACTTCCCAGCAGCGACAGGCACTGGGAGCATGCAGGGGGCTGGGGCATGGTGGGAGAAACGAGCCAGGAGCCAAAATCCATCACCAAGGATGGTAATTGGTAGTGGATCAACATCCTGACCTTCTTCCGATGCAGTTTTTGCTCTTCCCTGAATTCCTCCATTTTCTTTGCTTCTTCCCAAAGGGTTTGTGCCAGCTAGATCTGACCTTCTCCCACACTACCTCTGCAAAGAAAAGAAAGTTTCATATATAGAGAGAGAGATACACACAAATATATATATATATATACACACATACATGAAAAGACTGTTGCTCAAATCACCTGCTGTAGCTGACATCAAACCGAGCCCATTGTACAACTCCATTTCCAGAAACAGATAAAAGCAGCAGGAAGTCTGAAACGGCGTCCATGCAGCATTAGCTATGTCAGCTTCAGTCATGCTGGGGGTCACCTTTCAGCATAAGAAAACTGGAATCAAGAAGTTCTTCAAGCAAGCACAGTCACATCTGCCCCTCACCCCAATGAATACAGCCAGCTTTCAACACACAGCAACCTGAAGCAAAGAGTTGCCGCAGGTTAGCACACAGTCAAGCTGGGGCACAGAAAAAGTGATGCTAAAAAACCCTCAGCTTCATCCTGTTGAAAGTGAGTGGCCATACCGCAGAACAGCACCCCAGTAAGCTCATTGAGAGACATATGTTAAGTGTAGCTCAGGATTCAAGACCCGGAGCTGTTTCAAACCCACAGCCATGAATAGCCAGCTGCTTCGACAGCAGAGCCATGGTGGGGACGTTCACCAAGGCTCAGGGCAGCAGACAAATGTGGCTGCGGCTGTGTGTGGACTCAGCACAGGAGAGCAGAGTGCTAGCCCTCGGGGTAGGGATACTGCCCACCATGTGTGCATGGAAATGAAGGCACAATGTAAGGTGGCCAAGGCATCATCTTGTAGATGCTCTGACTAGAAGTGTGGAATCATTTAGGCTGGAAAAGACCTTTAAGATTATTGAGTCCAACCGTTTACCCTACGCTGCTAAATCCACCACTACACCGTGTCTCGAAGTGCAACATCTGCACACCTTCTAAACACTTCCAGGGATGGTGACTCCACCACTGCCCTGGGCAGCCTGTTCCAGTGCTTGACAACCCTCTCGGGGAAGAAACTGTTCCCAATACCCAGCCTAAAGCTCACCTGGTGCAGCTTGAGGTCGTTTCCTCTTGTCCTATCACGTGGTACTTGGGCAAGGAGACAGACCCCCACCTCACAACCTCCTTTCAGGTGATAGAATCATTGCAGTACAGCCCCTCAATGGTGGCCAGGGCCTAGAAAAGTCTGGGAAATTCAAGTGTTAAATGTGCATCCCAGGACAGAGGAACCTCTGCCAGATCCCACAGTTATAGTGTTGACAATACAGGAACGTGTATTTGCACACCTACCCCACCACCACCCAAATCATGTACATGGACTTGGGAAACAGAGATCATACACTACCTCAGAAGAATGTGTCACAGCGAGGATTATTAAGCTTAAGAGATTCAGGTAGAAGTAGAGCTACGTACCCAGGGATTCAGGATTCTGTCTTCAAACAGTAGTTTGCAAGACACATTTGTCACCGAACATGTAAAAAAACTTCCTTTGCAGCAGTACCATCCTCACTGCTGCAGCCAGGATCAGTCGCGTTGGCCTAAGGTGGAATGAGCACGGTGGTAACGAAGTCCGTGTTTAAGGAAACATAAAACCTGCCCTGTGTGGCGACAGTCTGCTTGACTTCATGTGTGGCTCCAGCCATGCCCTGCCACCAAATAAATCATGGAAGCACAGCCACAAAATAAAACTTGTTCTGGAATCACAGCCATAGCTGACACTTAGCTCTGACCCTTGTTTTCTCGAACAGTGGTCAATTAATTCACCGACTTATTCTCAAAGGGCTTTGACAACCAGGACTTCACTGCCGTTGCTCTCCGGGGTGCAGTGTACAAGATGAAAGAGGTCAGGCAATTCAGAGAAACATTTCCAACTTGATCTGGCTGTGAGGCAAGGTATTTCAGTTCAGATCATTCCACAACTACTGAAACCTGGGCAGGGACACCTTCCATTAGACCAGGTTGTGCTAAGCCCCGTCCAGCCTGGCCTAGATCACTGCCAGGGATGGGACATGTGTTTTCAGATAGGCACACCCCGCCCCCGATCTAGCCGCTTCCAGCAGCAGACAAACAAACACGGACACAAGCACGGCCTGGAGCTGACACCCTCTCCGCCGCTTTAAACCCACTCAGGAATAGGCGCGAACACGAGACAAAGGGCTGACGAACACCCCCCCCTCCGGCGTGTACCAGCCCCGCAGGCTCCTCCCCGCCCCTCTAAGCTCGCCGGACCCACCACAACCGGCAGGCGGCGGAAGCAGCCCGGACGAGGACCGGAGGAGCCTCACCCGGAGCCGATCCCCGCCTTCCCGCCGCACCTCGGGCCTGCTCTTGGTGTGGGCCTTGCGGGGCGCCCTCACGGCCTCCACCAGGGCCATACTCTGCGGCACCACCAAGCCGCAGCCACGGGTACTGCGGGCGGAAGCGAGGGGAGATTGACACCGCCCCCACCCGCTCCCTTCCAGTCAGCAGGGCGGTGGCTACGTGAAGCACGGAAGGACTCAGCGCAGAACGCAGAGCTGGGAGCCGGAGCATGGCCGCCAGGCCTGGGTGAGGCAGGTCTCCTGTCAGGATGGGAGCGGGCTTGGGGTAGGCTCACATATAGGCTCAGATATGGGAAGGCTAGGTTCCTTAGTAAGGGCGTGGGGAGAGGTGGGACTACCCCATAGGATCCTGTGGGGAGGCCAGGCCCCTCCATAAGTGTTAGAGATGAGGATCGGCCCTCCTACAAGGGCCTGTGGGGGAACAGAATCCTTTATAAAGTGCTGTGTGGAGGCCAAGCTCCTCTACAGGAGCCTGGGAGGGAGGTAAGTTCCCCTACTGAGGACTGGATGGGAGGCCAGGATCATCTCTAGGAGCTGGGAAAGAATCCAAACTTCTCTATAAGGGAGTGGCCAGGCTCCCCCTAAAAGGACTGGCAGGGAGGCAAGGCTCATCTAGAGGAGCCTAGGAGGAGGCCAGCTTCGCCTATAGGGACCTGTGGAGGGGCCAGGCTCTCCTGTAACGCCCCCGGTGCGGAGGGGGGTGGGGAGGGAGTCTCCTCCATAAGAGTCTGGGACAAGGCCAGGTGTCTCTATAAGGGTCTGTGGGGAGGTCCAGCTGCCGCTATAGGGAATGCGAGGTAAGAAACCAAGGCCCTACTACTGAGGCTGGGGAGTGTGAGTTCTCTTCTTTCTACTTGTGCCGTAGCAGGACCCGGAAGTGCCACCGGAGCGGGGCAGCCTGTCTGCAGTGCCTGAGGCATCTCCAGCCGCAGCGGGGCTCCAGTCTCAGCCTGGGGGACCAGGCGTCACTGACCCTTTTGATCCCTACTCAGGTGCTCAGCTGCCCCAGGGAGCCACCGCTGGAGCCGAGGCCATGCCCCACTGGAGCAGAAGTGATTGCAGCCAGTCCCCAGATGGAGGAGTCCCTGCAGAGCTCAGTCCCTCCTTGCAGAAGACATTGTAGTCAAAGACCTAATGATCTTGAACAGGTAATGTCCACTCTCTTAGGCCTTGTACTTGGCCTTGAGAAGACCCTTTGTTATCAACATCATGTGTCATTTATAATACCTGTGGGAAAGGTAAATTGTGTGTGGGTCAAGGCAGAGATGATCCTGACCAGGAGCCCGTTGCACATTACGGAGGTGGTGATCCCCTGAGCAGGCACAGGGCTGGTCTGCACTGCCCAAGGCCTGCTAATGGGGTTTATGGCCAACTCCTGCCTGATACTGACACACCAGCTGCCTGGCCCTGCCTGTATCTGGAAAGGCAGCAGGAAGTTCTCCTGTGAACTTCCTTCATAACTAATGCTGTTTTCTTGTGATGCTTTATGTATTAGCTCATAGGACCAAAAAGGAAGAGCTCTAACTCTGCCTGAAGGCAGGATGCCCAGCATCTGAAGGGACATAAGACTTCCATGCTACCTGTATCCCTCTGCTTATTTTGTCTTACTAAAGCAGCTGTGGCCTCTCTGTCCCTAGGGGAAAAGGCAGGAGCTGTGCAGCTGGTAATCAAGGTCTCTTATTAGGCCGTAGCGTATTGTTGGTGTCCCTCTAAGTGAGCTCCCTGAAAGATGTGGCCAAAATTAAACCTAAATTACAAGCTTAATCACCATTAATGAAGGACTTGAGCAACAGGGAAAAGCTTAACCTGAGATCTGAGTGAGATATATATGCCCTAAACTTTAGCCAGTGTCCCAAAACATTGTGCACACTCCCCTCACTCAGCACGTATGACTTCTTGGTTATCTCCAGCCTCTTTCAGATGGCTGCACTTCAGAAGAATTTCAAATCAAAAACCTCTTCTGACACAGATGGCCCCTGCACTGGATCCATCGCTTAGATTCCTTTTCTTCCCCCGAGTGTGAAGATGGGATATCTGTCCAAGCAGTTTGCTGATCACAGGCACAGATTTGTAGTAGGCACTTTCAGAGTGTGCAGATAATTATCTGAGACCTCATATACTTTGCTGAAACAGAGAGGCACTTCAGCTCTGTGTGGCTGCTGTGGGAAATGGTCTCTAGGTAAAAACATAAGCTCAGGGTAGACACAACAGCGAAGCAGCTCTTTATTAATGTTTTTGCAAAAAGCGGGTGTCCTAGCAAGTAGGCACACACAGCAACAGCAGAACTATGATTTCTATTTCCTACCCCGTCCACAAGTTCCCTCCCTTGTTTCCCCACTGGTTGGGTACTCCAAGGTTTACAGCCTATTCAGTGCTTATAATCTATGTGATAACTGTCTCGCCTCTGTTTATACCTCCCCTTACTGGACGTTGTATGCCCCTTCCTCTTATTTATTAACCACATCATTATTAACCACATAATCCTTTTCCGATTCAATTTTGTAACTTTTTGGCAGGCATGTGGTACCCCAACTTACTGTTTAACCAGCCTGCACCAGCTTAGTTTGTACATAGACAGTATTCTTTTTAACCAAGGAGTGTATCTTTCATCTAGAGATGACATTGGCTTTAACGACAGAGTGTGTTTTTTTTGAGTTACTAGATCTCAAACCCTTAATTTCGTTCCCTTAGTAACTTAGCCCCAGCCCCAGTATTGAAAACTCTTAATATTGCAAAGCCTTAATGTTGGTCTTAAAGCTCTAATATTGGAAAGCCTTAATACTGCAAAGCCCCATCTCCAGTTATGCGAAAACAACACTGTTTCTCTCACAACTCCCCCTTTCTCTTATTATACTGGTTTTGGTTTTTGCACTTTCCTTAAAGAATTGCCCCATATGTCGCTTCCAGTCTGGATAACGTAATTTCGTGGTTTTGATCTAAAGATAAGTCGCCCCAATCATCTTTATTTTTTTTAATCGAAAGCATTTCATCAGAGTAGGGTGGTGGTCCCATGAGCATTTGTTTTGACAAAGTTAGTTCCACAAAGTTGTTTCAAGAAGTTGCACACGTCTTCCTATATATGGAATTACGTAGCACCATATAGCTATTCATACACCTGCTACTACAACTACAGAAGTAAAAGCTGATATCACCATTCCTCTCCATTTTCCAAATCGGGATTCTAACCATCCTGTTAATGAAGTAACCTGTTCATGTATTTTCAGCCAATTCTTCTGCCAACATAGTGAGGCCTTGTAAGGCCCTGGTTATGCCTCCATCTGGTGTTGTATTATTTGGAATAGATGTGCAACACGTATTCCCTAGCACTATGCATACTCCTCCCTTTTCAGCTAATATATCTAAAACGATTCTCTTTTCCCTGGATATTTGACCCATTCTACCCAGGCATTTCTATTTCTATATCCTGTTTCTATTTCAAACATCTACTTCAAATCTTTAATTGCAATTACATTTACTATCTTAGGACTATTTGGTGGAGTCCGTGTGCTCACCGATGGAGGAATGGTGGATGACCACAGGCTGGTCGCATTCGTTCCTCTTTGGCTCCCAAACCCCTATTCTAAATCTAGCAGTTAAATCCCCTCCTGTCACATCTGCCCCCCAGCCACGAACCTGGCTTATTGCCCCTCCAGCACTTGCAATAGCAAGGGCACGGCACCACACTCTAACGCCCCACATTCAGATTCTATGTGACCTTTAAATATCATAATATTACTTTGTAGAGATTTTCTCTAAGCGCTGGGTGAGATCCACCCATTAAAGCCAGTTGTAAACCAAACATCACCCATGACAAGGTGATTCCCAGTATGGTTGGAGATAATACTCTGGGTATAAATAGTTACCGCAACTTCCTCTTTAACCAGCCTGCACCGGTTTAGTTTCATATGTTGTACGAAGATAGTATTCTTTTTAACCACAGAGTGTGTCTTTCATCTAGAGATGACACTGTCTTTAAGCACAAAGTGTGTCTATTTGAATAAGTAGATCTCAAACCCTTTCCTTCATTGCCTTAGGAACTTAATCCCAGACCTAGTATTGAAAACTCTTATTATTTTTGCAAAGTTTTACTATTGATCTTAAAGCTCTAAGATTGGAAAGTCTTAATATTGTAAAGCCCCATCCCCAAATATGCGAAAACAACACTGTTTCTCTCACAGCTGGGAGTAACTGGAAACACCACCACACTGGCCAGACCAACAGTGTCTTCTGCCTGGAGAACCTACAAACAGGATCAACAGCATCTAGTGATGTAGCCGTCAACTGTGGCATAATCAGGCTCACCTGAAACAGAGAGCACAAAAAAAAATGAGGTCTGCTTATGAGAAGTGCTCGTTACAAGACTACACAGGACAGAAACACTGGCCACCTGTGTCAAAGGGATGGAAGGCAATGGTGGATGAGGCTGAAAGAGATGTCTTGATTCTATGATTCTATGATTTGCCAAACAACCAAGGCATTTTACCAAGTTCCATCACCAAAGTGCCTCTGGGAATTATATAGCTCATGGTGCTGAATGAGGGAAAGGCCCAAACTGCAGAGAGTGGTGGGATCCCAAGCTTGGACATCCTTAAGCTCCACAAATGCCTACATACAGGGCTTTGATCAGAACTTCTCCTTAGTGAAACCTTGTCTCCAAAGTCAGAGTCCAGCTTCCCAGGATCTTTCGGGGGGGGTGGGGGGGGGGCGGACTTCACCTAAACCATTCCCTTTAGACAGCTAACGCTCACGATCTGATGGGGAAGAGCAAAAGCAGAGTTCTTCTGTGGAGCCAGAAACCCCATAAAGCAAGTAATTCTGGTGCACTGGTCGGGGTGGGTAGAGGTGCCTTCCTGCACATTAGAAAAGTCAGAGCTGAGGATCTGCGTGGCTCCGGGACTCCCAGTGCCCTGGCTCTGTGCTCCCCAACTGCCCTCCCAGACCTAGTGGGAAGGCAAGAGGTTAGGCCAGCCTGGGCTTTACAGAGACCTGATACCAAGGCACGTCATGGTGGGCTAACATGAAGCCGGAGGGCACTGCGGAAATAGTTGATCCGCTCGCACTCCTGGGTCTCAAAGAACTGAAACGACACAGACAAAACAGCCCTAACATCTGTGAGAAGAGAGCAAATCTCCTCTATTCTGATCTCTTCTCATCCCACTACAAAGATCTCTGTCCACAGCAACGAGCAGGTGATGTTGGTCTTCTGCAGGAAACATGGTAACCATGAGTCATAGAATCATAGAACCAACTAGGTTGGAAAAGACCTCGTCCAGACAAGAAGTCACCCCTTTACACACCCAGGTATTTCAAAGATGAGTGTTAACTTCAGGAGGGTCTGCAGGGCCCATGCGGAAGGGGTCGCTCAGCACACCACTACCTCTGGGGAGATGAAGCCAGCTTCCTGAAGGCACTGCATGTTTCCTAGCTACCCCATGGTCCTGCAGTCCCAGCTGACTTCTCTCCCACAACTATGGAGCAATAAAAAAGCATGGGGATCTATGAAAGGAAAGTGTCTTGACTCGGTTGTCTTCTCTTGTAAGCAGCGAGGAGAAGCAGACAGGCCAACCCAATATGGGTGATTAGCAAACTTCTACTTTATTTGTGACACAGTTCACTTATATAGGAGTGGTATTCAGGCACTCCTCCTAGGCACAACAGTATTGGTTGGACCCACACAGCTTCCTCCACATTGTCCTCCCACCTCCGGTTTCCAGTTACCTGTGGGGGCCACCCCTTGCCTTGCTCGCACAGGCCTCCAAGGCTCCATGGCCTTGCTCTTAGGGCCATTCTGCAACAATTCCCCCCTTTTTCTTTGTGTGAGCAAGGCACTGTGGGTTATTCTGTTCACCTGTTTTATCACACAACTATAAGCTAGTTTAATAGTTACAATGATTAACCTAACTGATACATAAGCGCAGTACTTCAAATAGTAGTGTTTTAAGTCAACCTGTAATGCCCCATGAGGACAACCATTTAGTTATCCCTAGGTCACTGCTCACTTGCAGTTGCTGGGTAAGCTGAGCCAGGGTTTTCAGCTGTGCATGTATCGAATTAAAATGACCAGAAAGATTCATACAACACATTCCATCAAACTCTTCACATCCATGTCCCTGTTCTAACAACAAAAGGTTCTGCAGTGTTGTATGTCTTAGAGAGTCAACATTTAAACAACAAATCAGAAATTGCCTTCGATGTAGTATTTGTCTGCTTAGCAACTCAGCAACTCAGTCTGCTTAGTTGAGCCAAGGCCCCGGCTGAAGCACTTACAGTGATTTGGCATATTATGATTGGATACATGTTTTGAAGACCCTTAGTGACTAACATATAATTGGTTAAAGACAGGTGTGAGAACTCAACCTTGAAAGCTTGCCAACAGTCCACAGTTCTCATTAACTTGGTGAATTCCAGCCTCTTATCTTGCTTGCTTAAGCTTCTTCGGGCCTCTCATGGCCTTGCTGTATCTTTCAGGACTATTCAAAGTTTATGTACCAATTATGCATTCTCCCGTGAGAACACTGTCTCCACATCTCCCCCCTTTTGTTTTATCCAGTAACAAGTTGCTACTACAGCAAAGCACACACACATTTACATTAGCAGAGTAACTATTACAGGGTGCAGCAGCATGTTGAAGATGCTGATGGTAGCGAGGGACTAGCCAAAGAAATTTCTTACCAGTGGAATTCTCCCACCCTCCTAATTTGTTCCATTACCTGCTTTATAACACTACCATTGTATTAAAATCTTTCTAGCTTTTGCCTTAGCATTTTCTAGCAGCTACTGCAAATTTCCATACTCAAACATCTCTTTTACAAGTGACAAATCTATACAATACAAGGTGCAGTTTCTTATTAGCAACTAGCTAGTAAATACAGGTGGTTTTATACACAAAATCACAGCCTCTAATAACAGCTACTTTACAAGCACACATATTCAGGATGTTACTTTTCAGTTGCCCCCAAGTGATGTTTTGCAGTTATTCGTTCTTTCTCTTCCTCTATCTCATTCTGCTTGGGGTATTCACGGTCAGCTCCTGTAGCTGAGGCATCAGGTTTTTCCATTCATCTATCCAGCTCATGGCAAGGCTTCACAAACTTTGCAGGCAGTCGCCATGGACGTGTAGGCAGGAGGACACAAATATACCGCCTCCCCCAGGTTATCAGTTCTTCAGTTCTTGAGAAGTAGACAGGTTAAATGCAGCATCATTACTCTCTCTCCCCCCCCCTTTTTTTTTTTTTTTAGTCCCTTTGAAAGCCGTCCTGCTGGGTAGCAACTATAGCGGCCTGCCTGCTTCAGCAGCAACCACAAATACCCGCCGGCAACCGCACCTTTACGTTAACCCTTTCATGTCCAAAATGTTAAACAGCTACCCATTGAAAGCTTTTACATGAACCCAACAACAAGAAAAACACACAGAACACTGTCTGCCCTCAGCACACACAAACACACGCGTATGGGATCCCAAAAGCACATGCCAAACAACTACAATATTTGAAGCACAAAATCCAGACAATCATTACTCCCACTACAGTTCCACGTACAGAACGTGGCACAAGGACCCTGTGGAGACTAATAGCAAACCAGCTCCGAGAAGCATCATTGCAGTGCGAGGTGGCAGGCTCAACCTTAGCGGGCGTCCCCGCAGAGGCTCTGCCTCCCCCACATCGCATGAGGCTTGGGCTTTTATACTGACCAAAATGCACACTCATTCCGACACAGGTGGCCAGCCTGTGCTGGAAGAAGTGGCCAGCAGTATCTACAAAGCTCTCCAAGGGTTGATAGAAACCTGGACATACTTATATTTACCAACTTCTAGTACATGAGTATCACAGAGAAACTGTATGGGCTCCCCCTGTCAGTTGCAAGAAAAAATCATATACAGCTTGAGTATAAGAGAATTTTAACACATACGTGGTCACTGTTTGTCAGGCCTCCTTAACTATTTTGAGATCAAAAGCTTCCCACTCTTTAGCCCCCTGCTGTGTAGTAAACACAGGATTTGCAAAGATGCCCATTGCAGAAAATTCCCCGGTAATGATCGAATCCTTGGTTACCCAGTGTTACAGCTGAGCGTCTCCAGGGCCAGTGAGTCTGAGCAGACTGACCCGGGAGACGAAGAGGCAGAGTCTGGAAGCAGAGGATATAAATCTGGCTCGGATTCAGGGGATTCAGGGGCTTATCCTGCGCCGAACTCAGGGTCTCCGTTGCTCGCAGCTGTGTCTTTCTTATCAGATGTCTCTTGTTCGGTATGTAGCCATCTGCAGACCTGGCTCTTCCGTAACTGAGTTAAAAATTTCCACTCTAGGGCATAGTGGGTTGGAAAGGCTCGCAGTTCCTTTAAATCCCCCGCTAGCGCATGATCTCTATTTTCTACTGCGTGCTTCAAAATGGCGCCGCAATAGATCCAGCACCGAGGCACCGCCCTCTTTCTTTCGGATTCCTCGACATTTATCATGCGTATCCCTTCTAATATACTTTCTCTGTCCTTTTCAAAGTCCCTACTTTCAGAACTGGGGTGGTGGGGGAGCAGGGGGTTACACCTCCTCCGCGGCACCTTCTGATGGAGGGGGAGAAAAGGGGGGGGGGAACCCTGTGCTCCCATGATTTGGGGGAAACGAGTTGTAATCTTCCCCCGGTTTCAACCGACCGGGGACGTCTGTTCCTAGTTTCTCCGTTGCTACCGCGGCAGTTTTCTTTTCCTCCTTGTATCTTTTTATACAGTTTATTATTTCCTCTGTGGTTTACCTAGTTTCTTTGCCGTTTTATCATCATTTAGCATTGAGTCAAATAGTTCATCACCAAACTTTCGCCACTCACTCTCCTCAAAAACTGTATTAGGATCTACAAAAAATCCCTTAGCCTTCCCTACAGCCACTGGACCTGCTAGCTGCTTTAGAGTCTCAGGCTTAATTCCCCGCTTTTCTAAAAAGCACTGTAATAAGTTCAGGGCTCAATTCCCCGCTTTTATAAAAAGCACTGTAGTAAGTCCAGGGCTACCTCTCGGTCCATTTTCACGGCAGGCCTTTTCCGGATCGTCTTCTTCTGGGTCGTCCTGTAACCTCGGTCTCCGGATCGGCCTCCCGACGCAGCAGTGAGTAGTTCGCCCCAGCGGCGGACTCCTTTTGGTTAGTCCAAGCACCCGGGTCCGTCACGCCACCGCAGCACCATTGCCCGCGCTCCCAGGCCGCTGCCGCCGGCACCGCTCACACGCCGTTCCGGGTCCCTCATACTCAGGGGCCTGTATTCCGGGTCCCCGCTAACCGGGGCCCTGTAATCCGTGTCCCCCCTAACCGGGGCCCTGTATTCCGGGT